CCCCGGAGGGGACGGTGCCAGCATCCCCCTTGTGACGGTGCTGAGGGTGCATCCCCTCTGCATCCCACCGGCATCACTGAGCTCTGTTTTCCATCAGGACCGGCTGATAAAGAACCCGGCCTCTGGGATGTGCCTGACGGCGAGAGGGAAGCACCCGGGGATGGCTCCCTGCAACCTGGCAGACCCCCACCAGCTCTGGTCCTTCACTTAGAGCAGCCCGAGCCCCCCCCAAAGCTGCCCCCAGCCGCGCTCAGGAGAGCAGAATCCAAACCAAACTCCTTCCTTTTTAATTTAAGAAGCAGAAGCCTTAAATATGCTGCATTCGTGGTTGCCTTGAGCTCAGTCCTGTGCCTTTGGAGCGGGGCAGCCTGGTGAGCCAAGCTCGGCCGGCCGTACCCCACAGAGCCTCAACACAGCCCGAGGATGCTCTTGGGTACCCGCTGCTCATCCTCCCCCTCCCTGGCTCCAGCCAGAGGCTCTGGGATTCACATCAGGCATTCAAACCCCCCCTACCAGTGAGGAGGAGGATGATGGCGATGAGATGGGCAGCCCACCCTGTGGGGAGCTGGATCATGGGTGCCCCATGTGGACAAGGGAATTCCGCCCTCCAGGATCCAGCCCTGGGCACCGTGGCGCTGCCAAGATGCTGGAACTGGGCCCAAGGGACCAGCCTTGATGTGGAGGGGGAATGAGAGCCCTTTCATCCCTCTTTTTGTTCTGATGGTGACCCCTTGGTGCGGTTCAGCTCTAGGGTGGCTCCAATGCAGGGCTCCACTGCACCACAGCATCCTCCCGGAGAGGCCTCACCGGTGCCCGGCACAGCATCGCTCCCTCCCTCGGTCCTCCTCAAGCCCAACTACTGTAGGTGCCACCTCTTTGCCATTTCAAGTAGGGGGAAAACCCCTCCTGGAAGTGGCGTGGGGATGGAAGAACCATCTTTGGATATAAGACATGGAATAAAGAGATGATTTATTTTATGGACATCCCGTCTCTGGCGTCCTCTGAGCTCCTCTCTATCGGTTTCCCTCCCTTTTCTTACCCTGGAAACACCCTTTTGCAACCCAAAAATGGGTTTAAAAGCTGGTTTTGCAATGGCCTGTCCCATTTGAAGTGGTTCCAAGCTGGGTTGGGGCGTCCTTCAGCCTTTGCTGCTGTCCCTCCCTGCGGTCCCCTCTGTGCCCATAAACCAAATAATGATTATTTGGAGACCATTTTCCATATGGAAGCTCATGTTTTCCTTGCAGATAAGAGCAGAACTGCAGCAGGTGCTTTTCTTTGGCTCCTTTTTATCTTCTTTATCAGGGCGACTCCATCACCACCCCTATCACAAACACCGCGTTCCAGCCATTGCTCCATCAGAGGAGCAAACCCCTCCATGCTGTGGGCTCAGCCCCCAGCACAGCCTCCATTTCTTTCTGAAGGGTGGAAAACTCAAAGTGTTCTGGCCAGAAACCACGTTGTTGTTGCAAACCCTCCTGGTGCTTCGTTTAACCCCAAAACAGCCCCAATTTAGATTGGATCTAAGGAGGAAATTCTTTCCTGTAAGGGCGGTGAGGCACTGGAATGGGTGCCCAGGGAGGTTGTGAATGCTCCATCCCTGCAGTGTTCAAGGCCAGGTTGGATGAGGCCTTGGGTGAGATGGTTTAGAGCGAGGTGTCCCTGCCCATGGCAGGGGTTGGAACTGGATGAGCTTCAGGTCCTTTCCAACCCAACCTATTCCATGATTCCATAACACCCCATGGAGGTTGTGTCAGGTCCCTGCTCCAGTGCTGGTTGTCCAGGGTGGGTTTTTTGAAGCTCTTGCCTTATATTTGCCTTGGTTTCCCTGTCCCTGTGATGATGCAGGCACCCTTCACGTGTTGGATAGACCTCTTGGAGCCATCCCACAGTGCAGGCAGGGCTTATGACTGCAAATCACATCACCATCACCTGAGATGTGCAGAAGAGGAAGATGCAAGAGGGGGCATCATCCCCCAGGGCCTGGGGCTGATGGAACCTTGGGTGCTTTTGGCACTGACCCTTGGGGCCAGGTGTGTTTTGGAGCAGGGACCAAGGCTACTCGATAGGGCCATGGCACCTGCTTTTCTTCCCACCCCTCCTTCCCCATCCCCTTTAAGAGCCCTGCGGCGCAGCCCCAGCCCCAGCCTCTCCGCCGTGGTCCAGGACGATGCTGCAGCTCCTGCTCCTCGCTGCCCTCGCCCTCTGCGGTACGTGCTCTGCCGGCAGCCACCGGCCTCAATGCCCGCAGCTCCCCTCTCCCCATGCCCACCTCCTCCTGTCCCGCAGGGCGCTGCTCCGAGCCGGATCTCCATGGCACAGAGCGGGTGGTCGGCGGCACCGAGGCGCGCTCGCACTCCTGGCCCTCCCAGGTGGGTCCTTCCTGGGCGATCCCATAGGGATCTCATCCCAACCGCGGCCCTGCGGTGAGACCCCCTCACACTGCTCGTGTTCCCCCTGCCCAGATCTCCCTCCAGTATTACGCCAGGGGAGGCTGGCATCACACCTGCGGGGGGTCCCTCATCCGGAGGAACTGGGTGGTGACGGCGGCCCACTGCGTGGAAGGGTGAGCAGGAGCATGGAGAAGCCATTCCCCACCAAACACCTTTCCAAGGGGGAGCTCTGGCTGTTGCAGCCCAGAGAGCGATGGTGCTTTGAGATCTCTGATGGTTCTCCATGAGGGGTTCCATGGAGCACCTCTGGGAGCATCATCCATCACCGAACCCTTCTCTTGAGGTACCCATCATTCAGGGCCTGATCCGGTGTTGTTCCCCCTTCCCACAGTGACGTGACCCTGCGCGTGGTGGCCGGCGCTCACAACCTCAACGTGGGCAATGGCAACGAGCAGATCTTCAGCGTGAGCCAGATCGTCGTCCATCCCTACTGGAACGGTGACGCTGGCAGAGGGTAACACCCAGCAAAGGGGGTTTGGGGGGAGCACTGCTGGGAATGGGGCTGGTCCTTACAGCATCATCCCCTTCCTCTCCCCAGCTACGACATCGCCCTCATCCGCCTGTCCACCTCTGCCCGCCTGAATGACTACGTGCAGCTGGCGGTGCTGCCCCAGGAGGGCTCCATCCTGCCCAACAACTACCCCTGCTACATCACGGGCTGGGGGCTCACCCGCAGTGAGTGCCATTGGGCCCTCAATCCCCCCCAAACCATGGGAACCGGTTGAAGGATGCTGTTGAGCCCTTTGAGGCCCAGGAGGCATCACACAGGGCTTGGGTTGGATGTGGCATTGCCCGGGGTTGGTTGGGGTGGGCTCTGCTTTGGCAATGGAAGGGAAGGGGTTGCTGCATTTACCAGCGCTTGACCGGTCTTGGTTGCGTGCAGCCAACGGGCAGCTCTCCAGCGTCCTGCTGCAGGCACCCCTGCCCGTGGTGAGCTACCAGGTCTGCTCCGGTTTACTCTACTGGGGTTCCATGGTCAAGAGCACCATGGTGTGCGCCGGCGGTGACGGCATGCGCTCCGGCTGCCAGGTACACCCCAGGGCCTCGCTTCCCCAATGGCATCCCCCCGGCATCCCCGTTCCTCCTGCCCCACGCTGCTCCTCGCCCCCAGGGTGATTCCGGAGGCCCCCTCCACTGCGCCGTGAATGGGCAGTACCAGGTCCACGGTGTCACCAGCTTCGTCTCCAGCCTGGGCTGCAACGTGCAGCGCAAACCCACCGTGTTCACCCGCGTCTCTGCCTACATCTCCTGGATCTCCAGTGTAAGGCGGCCGCTGGGGCGCTGGGACCTGGCATCGGCCTTGCTCCATCCCTGCTTGGCTCAGCCGTTGCCTTTCTCCCTCTTGCAGGTGACCGGGTAGAACTGAGCGGCGGCAGAAGAGCCCCGTCCTGCTCCAGGGATGGACATCACCTTCCCATGCATGTTCATTGGAGGGGGTTGAACGCATTGACTGGGGTCAATAAAACCCGTTCCTCTCTCTGATGGATGCTTTGTCCCACTGTGAGCAAGCCTTTCCCTTCCAACCCTAAGCAATCTTTCAGAGCATCCCTCGGGCTGCATCCCTCCTCTTCCTCACACCTGCAGGAAGAGACGCTGGGAAAAGCAACCGGGCCTGGGCTCTCAGAGCAGCCAGAGTTCTTGGTGTCGTGGTTTAACCCCAGCCAGGCAGCTCGTTCACTCACTCCCCCCCTTCTTGCCTCCCCCTACTCCAGGGGGGATGGAGAGGAGAATCAGCAAGAATGGGTTGAGATAAGAACAGTTCAGTAACTCAGGTATAACACAAATCACTACTGCTACCACCAATAATAGTAATGATAAAGGGAATAACAAGGGAAGAGAATACAACATCTCGCCCCCCCAGCCTGACCAAGCACCCACCGATACCTCATCCCACCCTGCAGTCCCAGCCCTTCCGGGTATCTCCCGGTTCCCTCCTGGCCATGCCGTGCTGTGCTATGGAATACCTCTTGGGTCAGTTTGGGTCAGGTGTCCTGTCCCTGCTTCCTCCCGGCTCCCCTCCTCCCTGGCAGAGCAGGAGGCTCACAAAGTCCTTGGCCAAACCAAACCATCACTGTTACCAGCTCTGTTCCCAGCTGAAAGTCAAACCACAGCCCTGCACCAGGTACCAAGAAGGAGAACAATGACTGCTACTGCTGGACCCAGGACATTTGGGGTAATGGAAAAGGGGAAACGGCTGCAAATCCCCTTCATGGGCAGCAACGGGATACAGAACAATATGGGGGCTGCAGCTGGGACGTTTCCCTCCCATCAGCTCCATTCCCTTTCCAACCCCACCTCCCTCGCAACGAGAGCTGTGGGGCTCGATGCCTGCGACCACCTCACCCCATGGCTGCACCCTGGAGGGTCACCAGGGCCACGACCCCACCGGGCAGAGGGACAGCACCAAAACCGCCCCGAACCCCGAGGTTACCCCAATGCCGGCAGGGGCGGGGTCCCCATCACCCCCATGGGCGCAGCGCAGCCTTTCCGGGGGGGCTGCGGATGCTTCGCCTCCAACTTCCTCCCCCCGCAGCATCGCGGTGCAGCGGGAGCCGAGCCGAGGCCATGGCAGAGGGCAGGGGCAGCGGCGCCGGGCTCTTCGCCAGGCAGGTCCAGAAGCGCTTCAGCCGCGCGCAGGAGAAGGTGGGTGCGAAGCTGCCCCCGTACCCAGCCCCAAACCCCCTTTCTTTGCTTTATCCCCTCGTTTCTACTTGGCACGGAGGGGGCAGCGCAATGGGCACCGCTCAGCACCCATGGGTGCTCACAGGGTGTTCATTGGGTGCTCCTGGGTCAACGGCATCGATGCTCCAAGGCTTTCGGCTTGGTGGCATCTCCCCAAAGTCCCCCCAGGCTGCTTTGGCAGCCGCTGGCTTCGCTAAAAGTGGGGTTTTTCCACCCAAAACGCTTTCCGGAGGCTATGGGGGGGCTGTGTGCTGCGGGAGGGGGGTCCCCGGGGCTGGCCAGGGGGGACGGTCCCCACCGGGATGCAGGCTGGGGATGGTGATGGGAATGCCGGCAGAGCCCGTGCCAGCCAGGCAGGAAGCGAGGGGGAAGGGCTCCGGAAGCGGGCAGAAATGGGGCAACTCTCGGCTGTTTTGGGGCTGTTCGGGGCAGCTCTTTCCCATTCCCCCCCCCCAAAGGCAGCGAGGCCCCAGCCCCACCAAACCCACAGGGTCCCGGGTTTCCTGGCTGGGCCTCGGGGCTAAATTCGGCTTCCCCAGGGCTCTATCAGCCGGGGCCAGGCTCTGGCTGCTTCCCGGGGCATCAACGTCTTCCTGGCCACACCAGGAAGCAGCCTTTGGCCACAGAGCGGGTTCATCCCCAGGGCTCTGCCTGCCCCCATGGCCACATCCATGGACGTGCTGGGGCACACAGGGCTGCACCTATGGGGTTTATAGGGTAGGGTGATGGGTGGGCACCCAGAAAGTCACCGTTCTCCTCCAAACACAAAAGCACTGAGGGATGTGCCCAAACTCTGCATCCCCCACGCAAAGCCCAGCTCAGCATCAGCTCTGCTGCATCCCCAGCAGCCCCTGTGGGCTCAGGGTTGATGCTTCTTCATAGGACCATGAAAACAGGGAACGGGTTGGGGTGAAGGGAACTGAAAGCTCCAATCCAGCCCCAGGGACCCCTTCCACTGGAGCAGGGGGCTCCAAGCCCCTGTGTCCTTGAGCACTGGCAGGGATGGGGCAGCCCCAGCTTCTCTGGGCACCCTGTGCCAGCGCCTCAGCACCCTCACAGGGGAGAGCTTCTGCCTAAGAGCTCATCCCAATCTCCCCGTTCCAGTTTGGAAACCTGACCTTTTCCCACATTTCCCCCTTCTCCATCCCAGGTTTTGCAGAAACTGGGCAAAACGGTGGAAACCAAGGACGAGCAATTTGAGCAGAGCGCCTACAACTTCCAGCTGCAGCAGGTTCCAGCGGGGAACGGGGGGGGACGGGGGCACCCCAACTTCACCCCTTGGGGTCACCCATCCCTCACCCGGGTCTGGCTGCGTTGCTTTGCAGAACGAAGGCCATAAACTGTACAAGGACCTCAAGGCTTTCCTTGGTGCTGTGAAGGGTAAGGGGCTTTGTGAATGTGCCCCATGGGCAGCACGGATGGGGTTGAGCCGGGATAAGGAATCCAAGCCAATGAAGGCTCCATTGAGGCCCTTTATCGCGATCCCATCCCCGCAGTGATGCACGACAGCTCCCGGCGAGTGGCCGACACACTGCAGGAGATCTACAGCCCCGACTGGGACGGCCACGAGGAGCTCAAAGCCATCGCAGATGTGAGCCCCTTCCATCCCCAAAGGGATGCATGGGGGGGGGGGGACCGGGAGCTGAGCCATAGGGGGGGTCTCTGGGGATGCAGCCCAGCACGTACGGCCCGGTTGGGGGGGGAGGCGGTGCGGGGGGTCCTGTTGTAGCCCTGTCCCTTTACCCACAGAGCAACAACCTCCTGTGGGATGACTACGAGGCGAAGCTGGCCGACCAAGCCCTGCGCTTGATGGAGAATTACCTGGCTCAGTTCGGGGACTTCAAGGTACCCCCATAGGGTTTGGGGGTTTGGGGCGGGGGGCCCGATCCTGGCTCAGCTTTGCCCCCTGCCCAGGAGCGCATCGCCAAGCGCGGCCGCAAGCTGGTGGATTACGACAGCGCCCGGCACCACCTGGAGGCTCTGCAGGGAGCCAAGAAAAAGGACGAGGCGAAAATAGCCAAGGTGATGCCCCCCCCGGCCCCCCGGTACAGCCCCCCCTGCCCCTGCTGCCCCCCCACACGGCCACAGCCCCCCTCCATCCCTCCCCATAGGCTGAGGAAGAGTTCAATAAAGCCCAGGCTGTGTTTGAGGACCTCAACCGGGACCTTCGGGAGGAGCTGCCCGTTCTCTATGGCAGGTACCGGGGGGCACGGCAGGACCCCGGGGGTTGATCCTGCCCAGAAGCCGATGGCACCGCAGCTCCCTGTGCGCAAAGGGGGAGGCGAAGGCAGCGGCCCCCGGCCCCGTGGGTGCCGTCGGAAAGCATCAGCTGAGCACAGAAGCGGTCGCTGAGCCCCATTTGCCCCCCATGGAGGGTAAAAGGGGGGGGGGGGTCCCCAAAGGGACCGGCAGCGATAGCGGAGGGTCCGGTGGCAGCCGGGAGGTGGCAGCACCACGGATGCAGAGAGGCCACCCCGGGACAGGAGGATGGGGGCTCCCCGCTGCGCGCTCAGCATCCCCGAGCCCCCCCCATCTCCCCCCGTGTTTCCCCCATCTCCCCTGTCTTTCTCCCCCCATCTCCCCCCGTTTTCCCCCCATCTCCCCCCGTTTTTCCCCCATCTCTCCCGTTTTTCCCCCATCTCCCCCCGTTTTCCCCCATCTCCCCTGTTTCCCCATCTCCACCCCCCCCACTCCCCCCTCCCCATCTCCCCCGTTTTTCCCCCATCTCCCCCCGTTTTCCCCCCATCTGCCCCCGTTTCCCCCCACTCCCCCCCCCCCTCTCCCCCTCCCCCCATCTGCCCCCGGTTTTCCCCCATCTCCCCCATCTTTCTCCCCTCTCCCCTCTCCCCCGTTCCCCATCTCCCCCCGTTTTTCCCCCATCTCCCCCCGTTTTTCCCCCCATCTCCCCCCGTTTTTCCCCCTCATCTGCCCCCGGTTTTCCCCCCCATCTCCCCCTCTCCCCCTCCCTTCATCTCCCCCTTTTCCCCTCATCTGCCACCGGTTTTCCCCCCATCTCCCCCGTTTTTCCCCCATCTCCCCCCTTTCCCCACTCCCCCCCTCCCTCCCCCCATCTCCCCCCGTTTTCCCCACCCCCCGTTTCCCCCCATCTCCCCCGTTTTTCCCCATCTCCCCCCATTTCCTCTCCCCCGTTCCCCCACTCCCGTTTCCCCCCATCTCCCCCGTTTTTCCCCCCCCATCTCCCCCCGTTCCCCCCATCTCCCCCCGTTTTCCCCCCATCTCCCCCCGTTCCCCCCCATCTCCCCCCGTTCCCCCCATCTCCCCCGTCCCATCTCCCCTTCCCCATCTCCCCCCGTTTCCCCATCTCCCCTTTCCCCCCATCTCCCCCCTTTTCCCCCATCTCCCCCCGTTTCCCCCCATCTCCCCCTGTTTCCCACCCCCCCATTCCCCCTCCCCCACTCCCCTCCCCATCTCCCCCGTGTTTCCCCCATCTCCCCCCGTTTTTCTCCCCATCTCCCCCTGTTTCCCCATCTCCCACCGTGTTTCCCCCATCTCCCCCCGTTTTTCTCCCCATCTCCCCCATCTTTCTCCCCTCTCCCCCCGTTTTCCCCCATCTCCCCCCGTTTCCCATCTCCCCCCGTTTTCCCCCATCTCCCCCCGTTTCCCCCATCTCCCCGTTTTCCCCCCATCTCCCCCGTTTTCCCCATCTCCCCCCCTTCCCCATCTCCCCCCGTCCCCATCTCCCCCTCCCCATCTCCCCCCGTTCCCCCCATCCCCCCCCGTTTTTCCCCCCCATCTCCCGCCGTGTTTCCTGCCCCCAGCCGCATCGCCTGTTATGTGACCATCTTCCAGAACATCTCCAACCTCCGCGATGTCTTCTACAAGGAGATGAGCAAGGTGGGGGGCAAGGCCCCTTCACCCCCCCCACACCCCAGCATCCTCACAGCCACCCCTTGCTGCTCTGGCTGCACCTCGAGTCCTCACTGCTCTTCATTTAGCCCAGTAACTGAACGCAGCTCGAGGATGCTGGTGCTGCTGGTGATGGGTGGCACCGGGGGGGCCCCTCTCATGTGTTTCTTCCCCCCCCTCCCAGCTCAACCGCGACCTCTACGAGGTGATGGGCAAACTGGACAAGCAGCACTCCAGCAAAGTCTTCATCATCAAAGGTGTCCCCAGGTAGATGGGCTTCAATAGGGGGGCTTCAAGTGGCTTAATCACCCCCCCCCCCAGAAAGCAGACGGGTGACACAGCCCCCAGCCCTATGGCACTGGGGTGGGTGAGCATCACCCAGCGTGGGGTTGAAGGCGCTTTGGTTAATTGGAGCCATTCGCTGGTGGTGCCGAATGGGGCAGCATCGCCCATGGGGTGATGCTTGTAGATGGTGCTCAAGGTGGGTTTAACCCCCCTGTCCTGCCCCCTCCCCAGCAGCCGCCGCTCTCTGGTCATCTCGTCCCCAGTGAGCCCCCCGGCCGTGTTCCCCTGCCCGGGGAAGGCACCGGACTGGGGGCCCACGGTGGAAGCAGAGGCGACGGCGACGTCCCCCGGTGCAGGCAGCGGGGCCCCCGATGCCGTCTCCAATGGGGAGCCGGGCAGCGCTGTCCCCAGCCCACCCCCGGCATCACCCGCCAGCGGGGGGTCCCTCTCAGAGACAGCATCAACCTCCAGCCAGGAGACCCCGGAGCCCGGTCCCAGCCCTGAGGCTCCATCCCAAGAGCTGGGGACATCGGGGGCAGCCGCGGAGCCGGGGAGGGCCGAGGGCATCGCCACCTCCCTGGCATCGCTGATCCTATCCGAGGCCATTGCCCAGGCTGCCGGCACCGCGCCGCCAGCGCCGGGAAGCGAAGCCCAGGCATGGGAGGACCCCCCCCAGCCGGGCCCCCATGGCACGGCCACCACCGTGCGGGGTCGGGCTTGCCCCATGGAGCCGCTGTCCCCAGTGCACGCTCCCTGCCGTGGGCAGGGTCCCGATGCGTGCCCATGGCTGGGGGGTGAGCAGGGGCCGTGCCGGCTCGGCAGTGACTCCGAGGAGAGCGTGGAGGTGATGGACATGGAGCCAAAGGTGGCCAGGACCCAGGTGAGGGGAGAGGCCGTGGTGGGGGCAGTGATGCTGGGGGGATCCCCGGCTTGTTCAGAGACCCAGACCCTGCTGGGGGGTGGCCGGTGGGGATCCATGGGACAAACCCAGTGACCCTCCTCTGCTGGCAGATGGGGCTGGATCCGGCAGCGAGCGGCTGCAGTGAGGACCCCGGATCCTCCTCTGGCTCCACAACCGAGGTGGGTGCAGTGGCACCATGGGGGAAGATGCTGACCTGATCCTATCCCCCCCCATCCGGACTGGGTCCTTCTTGGATCCAGTTTAATGCAAGCACAAGGGCTCAGCATCACCTCTGTGTCCCTGCCAGCAGCGAGGCTGTCCCGGGATGCAGGAGCAGGATGAGAGGAGCCAGGACCCACCACCAGCAACGAGCCCCCCCCCGGACCCCAGCGAGACCCTCACCTCGCTCTGAGCCCGGAACCGGTGCCTCCGGGTGCCACCAGCGGATAACGCTGCTCCACCATAACCGTGATGTGCTCCCACCCCCATCCCGGCTGGAATAAAGGCAGGAAAGGCGGTGACAGGAGGTGGTCGATCTCCATCCTGCAGTAGCCCCATCGCTGGCTGGGCTGGCGGCCATGGGAGTGCGGGGGGGTCCCCGCCTGTGGGTTTATGGTGCAGGAGGGATTTGTCGCCCTGCTCTCAGCGCCCGGGGCCGCTGTGACTCAGGAAGAAGGTGCAGAGCCAGTTCTGCCGGTCCAGGGAATGCGCTGCCGTGCACGAACCAGACAGTGCCCGGACTCACCCCACGCCCCACTTCGAATGTCCCACACATCACAGCAAAACCCCACTGCCATTGACTGCTCCGGGGCAGGAGCTTCATGGAACCATGGAATGGTTTGGGTTGAAGGGACCCTAAAGCTCCTCCAGCCCCAATCCAGCCCCAGGGACCCCTTCCACTGTTGCAGGGTGCTCCAAGCCCCTGTGTCCAACCTGGCCTTGAGCACTGCCAGGGACGGGGCAGCCACAGCTTCTCTGGGCACCCTGTGCCAGCGCCTCAGCACCCTCACAGGGAAGAGCTTCTGCCTCAGAGCTCAGCTCAGGCTCCCCTCGGGCAGGTTCAAGCCATTCCCCTTGCCCTGTCCCTGCATCCCCTGTCCCAGCCCCTCTCCAGGTTCCCTGCAGCCCCTCCAGGCACTGGAGCTGCTCTCAGGTCCCCCCTTCCCACAGCAGAGGGGCAGGATCCCCTCCCGGAGCTGCTGCTCTCACTCTGGGGGTGCAGCCCCGCACTGGGGGGGGGGGTTCTGGGCTCAAGCGCTCCCTGAAGCCGCCTCATGGGGACCCCAAGTCCCTCTGCTCAGGCTGCTCCATCCGGTCCCCCCCCATCCCATCCCTGCGCTCCCCATCCCTGGGCTCCGCAGCGCGCAAGGGGTTAACGGGGGAGGTGCTCCCGGCTCCGCCGCCGCCGCCGGACTGGAAAGGTGAGGCAGGAAAAGGGCAACGCCTGGGCGCGGGCCGCGCATGGTGCCGGCAGCCGCAGGTAGGAGCGGGGGGAACCCCGCATGGACCGTTCCGGGGGGGAGCGGGGAGGCCACGGGGGATGCGCAAGGCTGGGTGCGGGTGGCACCGAGGTGTCGGGTGCGGGACGGGGGCTTCCAGGTGGATGCGGGGGTGAAGGGGTTGAGCTTGCAGGAACGGGGAATCCATTGGGGAAGCTGCGAGGGCGCAGGGGAAAGGGGAGCGCTGCTCCCGGGATACCCACCCGGGACACGGGGGGATGTGGGGTGAGCTGCAGGGATGTTCTGCGCATCCCGGCCTCCATTCACCGGGAATGGGGATGGGGGGCTGTGAGGGGAGCATCCCGCATGGGGTTTTCAGGGAGCAGAGCTGCAGCTGTGCTGTGGGAACGGCTCTTGTTGGCCTGAGAGCAAGAATGAGGAGGGTTATGGGGTGGTTCCTATACAACCCCTGCGTGGCTTGGAAAACACATGGAGATCCATGGGGATCTGGTGCGTGAGTCACTGCTCCCGGCTGGATTCCGGCCCAGCGGGTTAACCCTGGCACAGCAACACATCCCATGGTGTAAACCTCTGCTGCTCCCAGCCCTGCATTTCCAGGTGCTGTGGGCACGGAGCTGCTTTGTGTTTCCCATTGGGAATGCTTCCCAAGAAGCCCTGTCCCCATCTTGCTCCGGCTCCTGCCCATCCAGCAGCGCCTTTTCCTCTTCTCCCTTCGATCCCAAGCTTCCAGGCTGGGGGAATGGGACCCGTGTCCTGCTCTGAAGCCGTTCGGGGGAAGCTTGTGGTTGGCTTTGGGAAGTGCATTCAGCTCCCTGGAGCCCAGACATCGCCACTGGAGGAGCCCAATGAGCTTTAAAGCGAAGCTGGGTTTAAAGTGAAGCTGGGTTTAAATTAAACTGGGTTTAAAGCAGAGCTGGGTTTAAATTAAACTGGGTTTTAAGTGAAGCCGGGTTTAAATTAAATTGGGTTTAAATTGAAGCTGGGTTTAAAGGAAAGCTGGGTTTAAATTAAATTGGGTTTAAAGTGAAGCCGGGTTTAAATTAAATTGGGTTTAAATTGAAGCTGGGTTTAAATTAAATTGGGTTTAAAGTGAAGCCGGGTTTAAATTAAATTGGGTTTAAAGTGAAGCTGGGTTTAAATTAAACTGGGTTTAAAGTGAAGCCGAGTTTAAATTAAATTGGGTTTAAAGTGAAGCTGGTTTAAAGAGAAGCCGAGTTTAAAGCAAATCTGGATCTAAAGCAAAGATGGGTTTAACGTGAAGCCGAATCTAACACAAAGTTGGGTTTAAAGCAAACTGTGTTTAAAGCAAAGCTGGGATTAAAGAAAAGCTGTGTTTAAAATAAGATGGGTTTAAAGCAAAGATGGATCTAAAGCAAAGCTGGGTTTAAAGCAAAGCTGGGTTTAAAGCAAAGCTGGGTTTAAAGCAAAGATGGATCTAAAGCAAAGCTGGGTTTAAAGCAAAGCCGGGTTGATTGAGCTGGTGGCTTGTGCCAGCCTGGGCTTGAGCTTGGGGTGAAGTTGCTGGGATGTGGCTGAGCTGGGTGCTGGTCCCTGCCTGTGGGCGCTGGTCCCTGCCTGTGGGAGATGGTCCCTGCCTGTGGGAGATGGTCCCTGCCTGTGGGAGATGGTCCCTGCCTGTGGGAGCTGGTCCCTGCCTGTGGGCGCTGGTCCCTGCCTGTGGGCGCTGGTCCCTGCCTGTGGGAGATGGTCCCTGCCTGTGGGCGCTGGTCCCTGCCTGTGGGCGCTGGTCCCTGCCTGTGGGCGCTGGTCCCTGCCTGTGGGCGCTGGTCCCTGCCTGTGGGCGCTGGTCCCTGCCTGTGGGAGATGGTCCCTGCCTGTGGGCGCTGGTCCCTGCCTGTGGGAGATGGTCCCTGCCTGTGGGAGATGGTCCCTGCCTGTGGGCGCTGGTCCCTGCCTGTGGGCGCTGGTCCCTGCCTGTGGGCGCTGGTCCTGCCTGTGGGCGCTGGTCCCTGCCTGTGGGAGATGGTCCCTGCCTGTGGGAGATGGTCCCTGCCTGTGGGCGCTGGTCCCTGCCTGTGGGAGATGGTCCCTGCCTGTGGGAGATGGTCCCTGCCTGTGGGCGCTGGTCCCTGCCTGTGGGAGATGGTCCCTGCCTGTGGGAGATGGTCCCTGCCTGTGGGCGCTGGTCCCTGCCTGTGGGCGCTGGTCCCTGCCTGTGGGTGCTGGTCCCTGCCTGTGGGTGCTGGTCCCTGCCTGTGGGCGCTGGTCCCTGCCTGTGGGTGCTGGTCCCTGCCTGTGGGAGATGGTCCCTGCCTGTGGGAGATGGTCCCTGCCTGTGGGAGATGGTCCCTGCCTGTGGGAGATGGTCCCTGCCTGTGGGAGATGGTCCCTGCCTGTGGGAGATGGTCCCTGCCTGTGGGAGATGGTCCCTGCCTGTGGGCGCTGGTCCCTGCCTGTGGGCGCTGGTCCCTGCCTGTGGGCGCTGGTCCCTGCCTGTGGGAGATGGTCCCCACAACTCTCCCACGCTCTGGGAAGGGGGAAATGCTCTTCCCTGTGGCAGCCCTCGAAAGCAAACCTGCTGCTGGGGGGAGGTTGTGCAAGCCCCACATCACGAGGGCACTGGGGCACAGTGGGGCAGGCCCAGAGCTGGGGGATGAATCCCAGTGCAGCTGTGGGTTTAGCATCCCCCAGCCCCACATCACGAGGGCACCGGGGCACAACGGGGCAGGCCCAGAGCCGGGGGATGAATCCCAGTGCAGCTGCGGGTTTAGCATCCCCCAGCCCCACATCACGAGGGCACCGGGGCACAGTGGGGCAGGCCCAGAGCGGGGGATGAATCCCAGTGCAGCTGCGGGTTTAGCATCCCCCAGCCCCACATCACGAGGGCACCGGGGCACAACGGGGCAGGCCCAGAGCTGGGGGATGAATCCCAGTGCAGCTGCGGGTTTAGCATCCCCCAGCCCCACATCACGAGGGCACCGGGGCACAACGGGGCAGGCCCAGAGCTGGGGGATGAATCCCAGTGCAGCTGCGGGTTTAGCATCCCCCAGCCCCACATCACGAGGGCACCGGGGCACAACGGGGCAGGCCCAGAGCCGGGGGATGAATCCCAGTGCAGCTGCGGGTTTAGCATCCCCCAGCCCCACATCACGAGGGCACCGGGGCACAGTGGGGCAGGCCCAGAGCTGGGGGATGAATCCCAGTGCAGCTGCGGGTTTAGCATCCCCCAGCCCGCGCGCTGCATCCCGAGGACTCAGCCCCACCGGGATGGGGGCCGTGGTTCAGCAGCTTCCTCACTGCATTAAGAACGTTCCTGCTGCAGCATCGACCCCGGGACGCAACGGGAGGATGCAGGAGGAGTTTGGGGTGATTTGAAGCTCTCGGAGCTGGAGAGGGGATCGCAGTCAGTGCCTGGATTGTCCAGCATCACCTCTGGACCAAGGCCTTGGCTCCGGCTGGCGCTGCCCGGCCGTGCCCTGTGCCGGGTGCTCTGAATTCATCGCTTGTGTTCTGGGTTTTGGCAGCTCTGAAGGAGCCCAGACCTCCCCCTGCCAGGAGCCGATGCCATGGAAGGGGATCAGCCCCCTCTGACTGCAGGTGAGTGCCCCGGGACAGCTCTGCCCTGTGTCCATGCAATGGAACCCGTGGTGAGACCTTGCCCAGGGCCACTGCCTGCCCCGTCCAGCTATGCCCAGCTCAGAGCGGGGTCAGGACCTGCCTTGCTCACCTTCCCCTCCCTCCTTCTCTCCTGCTTTGATGAAGCAAGCAGGAGAGCAGTGCTCAAGGCCAGGTTGGATGGGGCCTGCTCTAGTGGGAGGAGGCAGGGGCTTGGAACTGAGTGAGCTTTAAGGTGCTTTCTAACCCAAACTGCTCCATGGTTCTATGGTCCAAGAAGAGCTGACAACCCCCTTCCTGAAGAAGGCTCACCCTCCACCTCTCCATGAGGATGCCAACACCGTGGTCATCGCAGGTAGGGCTTCTCCTTGCCACATCCACCCCGTTCACCGAGGAGCAGCTCGGTGCTGAAGGGCTACCCCCTGCTCCTCCCTCTGCTTTCTGCTGGCAGTTGTCATCACGTTGGTGTTCCTCACCCTGCTCACGGTCCTGGTGGTGATCATCATCTACCTGTACAGAAACAAAGGGAGCTACCTCACCTACGAGCAGCCGGCAGCAGAGGCTGACGTGGCGGTGCAGATGGAGGATGCTCCAGCCAAAGAGAAGGAGGAGTATTTCATCTAAGGCCCGGCTCCAGCGCACACCTCTCGTGCTCTCGGGGCCGAACTTGCTGGAGTTGGGGATTTCCAAGCTGCTTCTTAATTCTTTGCCTTAATTTATTAAGCCAAGCATGGAAGGAACCCCCCCCCCAGAGCTCTGCCCATCACTGCCTGCCCGGAGCACACCAAGGGCAGGAGGAGAGCAGCATCCCCCCAGCCTCTCCCTGCAGTGCCTTTGAATACAACCCAGTGACAAAGTGAGGAGTCCCTGTTATTTTCTTTGCCCTTAGCTCAAAACCCACATTAAGGTCCTCTTAGAGGATGGGGTGATGGACATGGAGGCGAAGGTGAACCCTATGGGTAAAACAAGCCCAACCGCAGCCCATAAACCCTGGGGCTGCTCATCCCTGACCTCAGAGAGGGCTCCGGGTTGGCTTCATCCAGAGGCAGCTTTAGCACCTGCACATGGGCTCAGGCAGGTGGAGACAACGGTGTCCCTCTGCTTGTGCTCAGAACAAAGCTAGGGCAAGGAGCAGCTCCTCCCATCTCTGCTCCCTGCTCAAGGCACTTCCTCCTTTAAACCAAGCCCCCTCAAAGGAGGAAGTTCACAAAGCAGCAGTGAAGAGGAAATCAGTGCAGAAGCAATGGGCAGCGCCGGGGGGGTTCATCTGGGGGTAATGCAACGCGGCTCCTTCAGTCAAATTTTCAAAATAGTCTTTATTCTACTTGTTTTTAGTATAAAAAAATCCACAAGTTAAGTGCACCACAGTGTATACAGAGAGAGACGTAATGGCGAGCTTCCTAACAGTCAGTTGATGGTTAAACACAAGAGGGACAAGACAGGTTTAGATTCAACTGAAACCTCAAGATAAAATATAGCTGAACCTGGTATTTGTCTTCATAAAACAACAACAACAACAACAAAAAAAACACACCTCAAAACCAAACCCAAAACACGGAGGATCCCTGAAATATTCTTCTTACCCCTAATAAGACTTCATTGTTTCAAAGTATGCGTTCAGAAACCAAGCCCTCGACCCGGCTCACTCGGGTGTTGATGGGCAGATGGTAACCACCCGCTCTGTCTGAACAACGGGAAGGAGTCTGGGTGTCAAGACACCGGTGGAGTTTGAAAGCAAGGAAGAAGAAGGTTGGTTATTAAGCATCGCTCTAAAAGCCTCATTAGCACTGAATGAAAGGAACATGAGCTGCATTGTGTTTCTGGCACCAAAGCATGGCTTTGATTAGATCTAGAGTGCAAAGAAATCCAAGCTCACTTGGAGTGTCTCAAACCAATCCCATGAGCCGCCAGCTGCAACCCTTCCTGCAGGGAAGCGATGGGCGAGCAGGGAGCGCTCCCAGGGATCCGTCCCCCCTGAGGTCAGCAAGGGGGATGTGCCAGGGTGCCCTGCCTGCTGCTGGGAATCCCTGCTCTCCCCAGCACCTTGGCTTCGGTGGAAGGGAAGCACGGGTGCTTGTGGGTGCAACGGACCCGGAGGAGAGGAAGGGAAGGGGGAAGCGGATGCGCTCCCTCACCCATCCCAAAGCCAGTGTGGAGGGAGCTCCTATGAGCTCAGCACTGCAATGAGTGAAAGGCAGAGCAGGGCTGCTGAGCTCCCATTCATCCCATGGATGAATCCCCCATCCCGCTCCAACAGAGGCACCGCCGGCATCACCAGGGCTTCACCTCCACGTGCCTGCAGGCACCGAGCCAGGAGACACCGCACCGCTTCGTGTCTACTCTGCAACCTCAGGTTAATATGGACTAAAGCAGTTACATCGTGAGAAGTGCTGACAGAATGTGATGTCTTTCCTTACACAAATGTAGCCCCCCCTCTCCCCCCCTTCCCCTTCCTTCTTCACCAGATAGTGTAGCCGCCGTCTGAGCCTCCCAGGAAGAAGTTGCCCTTCCGTTGTGTCACCAAGACGTTGGCTCCCTGCATCACGGCCAGCTGGGCGGCATTGGGGGGGCAGCCAGGAGGGGGGGGCTGCAAGACACAGAAAGGGATAGCTGAGGTCACTGGGACAAAGCCATCACTCCCAGTCCATGTCCCTGTGGCTAAACAAGCAAAGAGAGCCCAGGAGCTGATGGGAACCCCCAGGTTAAACAGGCACAAGCAGGAGCTACTCTTGGCCCAAATGATGGATCAGGTTAAGATGTTTTCCTCAGGAAACAAAGGACATCTCCCCCACATCCAGCGCTGAAGGACACAGGGTTTTACAATCATAGAACCATGGAATAGGTTGGGATGGAAGGGACCTTAAAGCTCCTCCAGCTCCAACCCCTTCCACTGGAGCAGGGTGCTCCAAGCCCCTGTGTCCAACCTGGCCTTGAGCCATGCCAGGGATGGGATGTACAACGCTGCAGACAAAGTTATACTCACAGGGATGCTGGCGGTTCCACCAGCTCCAAACCTCGCTCCAGCATCAAAGCCACCTTCAACAAGGACTGTGGATCCCGGGGGATAAACCGGTCCCACGGGATAGTATGCCATGGGCACCGAGGAGCTGAGCGGCCCCACGGCCACCGACTGGGCCATGGGCAGGAAGACCCCCGGGTATGCTGCAGACATGGTGGGCACGGTGGCAGCCCCCAGCGGCACGAAGCTGGGACGGTAAAGCTGGGGAGAGAAGAAGCCACGCAAGGAAGTTGAGAGATGTTAATTCATGGACTCATGGAATGAAGGGACCTTAAACCTCATCCAGCTCCAACCCCTGCCATGGGCAGGGACACCTTCCACTGCATCGCATGCTGGGCTGCACCCCCAGAGCGTGAGCAGCAGCTCTGGGAGGGGATCCTGCCCCTCTGCTGTGTGAATGGGAGATCACCCCCTGCAGCCCTGATCCAGCTCTGGGGCAGCAGCACAAGGGGGACGTGGGGATGCTGCGAGGGCTGGAGCAGCTCTGCTCTGGAGCCAGGCTGAGAGAGCTGGGCTGGGGCAGCCTGGAGAAGAGAAGGCTCCTGAAGGGGAGACCTGAGAGCAGCTCCAGTGCCTAAAGGGGCTGCAGGAAACCTGGAGAGGGGCTGGGACAAGGGATGCAGGGACAGGGCAAGGGGAATGGCTTGAACCTGCCCGAGGGGAGACTGAGCTGAGCTCTGAGGCAGAAGCTCTTCCCTGTGAGGGTGCTGAGGCGCTGGCACAGGGTGCCCAGAGAAGCTGGGGCTGCCCCATCCCTGGCAGTGCTCAAGGACACAGGGGCTGGAGCACCCTGCTCCAGTGGAAGGGGTTGGGATTGGAGCTGGAGGAGCTTTAAGGTCCCTTCATCCCACCCCATTCCACGCTAAAACAAAGCCTCCAGAGCAGCATCCCCCCTACCTCGGAGTAAGCAGGAGGTGCATCTGTGTAGGGCGGCGGCTGCGGCAGGGGCACGCTCTGTGGGTACACGGCGGCGCTGGCCGGAGCCTGCACAGGGTAGGAGGGCTGGGTGGGATATTGTCCTGCAGGGAACAGCGGGGGTCAGACCCACGTTTTGGGGGGGTGGGGGGGGTACCACACATCACCTCTGCTTCACAGCCCCAGTTCAGCCCCTTCCTCTGGGCTGGGGGGCTGATAGTGTCATCCCCCCCCACTACCCTATGGCCCCCACGGGTGCCCCTGCCCCACTCCCCCTGCTGTGTGTGGGAACTGACCCCCATCCACGTTAAACCTGGGGGATCCCCCCATAGCAAAGGGATCCCCCCCACTGAGAACACCCCCCCCCCGTCTCCCGGGGTCCCCCCGTGCCACCCCACCCCCCCCCGCCAGTTACATCACCCAGAGGGGCTCCCGCACCCGCCATAAGATGGGGTCCGTTCTGACGTCATCCAGGGGATTCCCTACGTCAGCGGGGGGGGGGGGTTCCCGCACCTCAGCGCGACCCCTTCTATCCCCCCTACGTCACGCCCACCCCCCCCCTCCGGAGCATCCCCTACGTCAGCGGGGGCTTCCCCCACCTCAGCTCGTACGTAATAGGGGGGATCCCTTACGTCACGTGCCGCAGCCCCGTCCTACGTCACAAGGGGAGGGTCTCCCCCCCCCCCCTTCCGGCGCCCACAGGGTTAAATCCGGGCCAAGGCGCGCGTTGCCATGGCGCCCCGCGCGCGCCCCCCGCCCCGCTCCCATTGGCCGCCCCTCAGGCTCGCGCGGTCACGCGCTGCGGCGGCGGCGCCGCCCTTAAAGGGGCCGCGTCCCGGAGCGGCGCTGCCCTGTGCGGGGTTGGGGGGGTGGGAAGGGGGGGGAAGGTGTCCCGGTGTAACGGGGCGCGCCCCCGTCCCTTGCCCTTGCCTTTGCCGTTCATGGCGGCGGCGGCTCCGGCGGGTCCCGCTGTGCCCGCGCCGCGCGCTCCCCGCTCGGTGTCACCGCGGCGCTGCGGGAGGGGGAAGGCCGCGGAAGGGGGGATGGGGGTGGGGGGAGCAGGAAGCGTGCGCCGCGCGCAGACGTGCGCCGTGACGTCATCGCGCACGGGGAGGGGAGGGGGGGGTGAGGCAGAGCGCTCTTAAAGGGACCGCAGGAGGCGAGGCGGGGCCTCGAGGAGAACCCCGGGCTCGGGGGCTGTGGAGGGATTTGGGGCTCCGGGTGCCCCAGGGGTGAAGGGGGCCCCCGAGGAGGGTCCCCGAGCAGGGAGCAGATAGGGCATGGGGGTGGAAGGGGCCCGTAAGCAGGACCGGGGTTAGACAGGAGTGTGTGGGGGGGAGCCTTCGGGTAGGCCCAAGGGGGGCTCGGGTAGGCCCAAGGGGTGAGAGGAGCCTGGGGGGGTCCCGAGCAGGCACCGGAGGTGCGGGGGGGTCTAAATGGAGCTGTGGAGGGGAATGAGGGTCCCGGGTGGGGTGGGGGCACACCTGGGCCTTGGGGATTGTGGGGCTTGGGGGGACCCAGACCCAGTGCCCAGCCAAGGGGGAGCCTGCTGGGGGCTCCGCTCCCCCGGGTCCCCTGCTCCTGCCTCAGCACCCAGCGGAAGAAGCAGCCCCCGAGGTCGTGCATAGAAGATGGAAGCAAGGGTTGGTAACTTCAGACACTGGGAAGCTGAATGAAGCTCCAGGGAACGAGAGGCCTCAGTGGGCAGAGCGGCTCCTCCGCTCCGGGTTACTTGGTTCTGCCAGGCCATGCCCTTGGCCTTGGTGGTACAAGCCCCGAGGCCTCCACAGGAGCACATTTCCCCCCTCTCTGCAGCCAGGAGTCCATAGAGACCCTTCTTCCAGGGGTGCCATCCTGCCATGGCATCAGCACAGTGTCCCCCAATACATGTGGGGCACAAAAGCCATTGAAGTGACCACAGTCTCCCCTTCCTGCCCCAAGTGGAGCCAGAATGCTGCGGGTAGCTGAAGATGTGGCCGTGGATGTGCATTCCTCAGGCTTGTTCTGCACCCCCCCCCCCCCGGTTCCCCTTCATCCAGCACCAGCACAGGAGAGGCCTCAGTGGGTTTATGGAAAGAAAGGGAGCACCTCTTTGATTCGAGCACTCTTTTGTCTTGTATTTAGGGCTGCGTTTACAGAAGCTTGCAGTCATCGTTCAACAAAGCTCTGGCATCTATTTGCCTTAAAGACACCACGGGGTGAAAGGAGGGGAGGGGGGCTTCTGGTGCTAAGCTTTGGTGAGTTATGGGGCTTAAAGATGTCACAAAACTCTGTTGCAGGTGCTGCCTGCTGCTGATCTGCCAGCAGAAGGAGGGCTGGAGCTGTGCACAGAAGGTAAGGGGGAGCCCGGTTCTGTGTGGAGCCTTGTGCAAAACGGTGATGTATATCACCAGCAGTGAAAAGAGCACAATAAAGTGTAAAATCCCCCTGTGATAAACTTTCTGGCTGCGTTTTGGGCAGAGTTGAAGGGCACAGCTCCAGTTTCCAGGCATCTCAATCAAGAAGATCATTGTTCTCTTCCCTATTTAAGTGACCTCCTCATGAATAATGTACCGCCTGCCTGATGAATATGCACGCTGCCTGGTGTGCCTGGGAGGGCTCCATCAATAATTCATGCCTGGAGACGTCCTTCACCTTGCAGCTGTGCAGGAACTGTAAAAAATAATACGAATAATTGGAAAATTACCCCTGAAAGTGGGAGAGGAGGTGGCTGGAAATCTGCCCTGGGAAACATGGAATGGGGGGGGTGGAAAGTGTGAGCAAGGTAAGTGAAGGGCAGAGCGTGTGTGTTCCCAAACCCAGCCCCAGGGCTCGCAGGAACTGCTCAGGATTGAGCCCCTTCAGCAGCTCCTGGCTTCAGACCCTGACTTATTCCAATAAATGGGCTTTTTTCCACTCTCCCCTTCTCATTACACAGAAAACTTCCTTGCAAAGGAAGCATGAAAGGCGAGGAGATGGGGTTTGCATTCAGTGGAGCCGGGCTCTTTGGGAGGCCCTGCCTTCACATCCCTTGGGGCTGTTTTCAGTTGTATTTTCATTGCTGATCACCTCCTTTAAGAGCCCTCCTAGGACTCAAAGAAGGGGGGAAAAAGCCTCACTGAATTAACATGAAAAGCTCTGGATCGTCCTTGTGCTGCAGGAGCAGCTTGTGCCCAGGGAGCCCCCAGCATCCTGGCCTGGCTCAGCACCAGTGCGGCAGCAGGGCCAGGGCAGGGATTGTGCCCCTGCACTGGGCACTGGTGAGGCTGCACCTCAAATCCTGTGCTCAGCTCTCACTGCAAGAGAGACATTGAGGGGCTGGAGCGGGGCCAGAGCAGGGCAATGGGGCTGGAGCAGGGCCTGGAGCACAGGGGTGATGGGGACCTGAGGGACCTGGGGGTTCAGATGGAGAAGAGAAGGCTCAGGGGGGACCTGATGGCTGCCTCCAGGTGCCTGAGAGGAGGATGGAGCCAGGCTCTGCTCCCAAGGAGCAAGGGATGGGACAAGAGGAACCGGCCTCAAGCTGCACCAGGGCAGGGTTAGATGGAGCTGAGGAACAATTCCTGCCCCAGAGGGTGCTCAGCATTGGAACAGGCTGCCCAGGGCAGGGCTGCAGGCACCCATGGAGACGAGGCCTCAGTGCCATGGGGCAGGGGTGGCCTTGGCACTGCTGGGCATGGTTAGAAGTGATGGTTCTTTTCCACCTTGGTTGATTCTATGCTTTTAAAGCCTAAATGTCCGACTCTGCACATTGGGATGAGCTGGAAGCCCTTATTTCCACAGCCCAGGGTTATTGAAGCAGAGTGTGTGGGATAATCCCCGTTGTTTGCTACTTAAAGCAGCAGTGAAAACTGAGCTCATTGCGGTGCCCTTCTGAGCAGAGCTGTGGAACTTTGCTGTGTGTAATCAGGGTGAAGAGGTACTTGGAGGCAGGGAGCACCCTCTGGGTGCAGGGCTGTAATTAATTGCATAGGAGTAATGAATAAGCAGTTAATTACCGACTGATGTCTTCCACCATGGGAAGTGCTCTCCTTCCTTGTTCTGTCCTTGCCTTTGCCACGATGGGATTTCACCCAACGCCATGACACGGCCTGGAAGTTCTCCTGGAAATCTGGGGCCTGCTTCCAGCTTGAAGGGGAAAAGCGAGGCTGAGGCTGGATCCATCCCAGCACCAACAAACCTGCATTAACCCCCCCTGCCCTTAGGCTCAGGAGGTTTGTGTGCAGCTGGTGTTGCTTTGCAATGGGGGAGCTGAAGTCTTGGCTTGCTTGTTCCGGGACAGTTCCTGGATCAGCTGGAATCAGCATCTCTGTGGTGTGTGTGGGGGGCTGGAGGCCTTCCTGGAGCAAATCAGATGGGGCAGGGGCAGAGCTCCCTCTGCCCCATGGCCGGGGAAGCTGCGCTATTCCTTTGGTCAGGAGTTGTCATCGCAGGGGAGCCCCACAACAAAGGGCACAGTCTTGCATTGAGCACTTCAGTTTCGGAGCTCTTCCTGTCCCCCAGTGCATTAACACACACACACACACACCCCCCTCTGCAAAAGCTCTTTTCCTGCAGGAAGAAAAAGCATTCCAGCCCTCCTGAAGTCAATTCCCCTTCAAGAAGCATTCGAAATGCACCGAGAGCCCTTTCCCAATGTGCATTGTATTGAGCTTTATGGCAATGTATGGAAATGAGCCTGGATCCAATGAGGCAGAAGCATTTAAATATTCATCATGCCAGTACAGCACATGCAAAGCAGGCTCTGGGCAGGGCTGTGTTCCATTTGCTTTCCTGTGGGTAATGAAGCTGGGAATGAGGTGCCCAGCATTTGGCTCATCGGTGCCAAAGGCATTGCATGAGGTCAAGACTGAGGGGCTGGGACAGCCCAAGTGATGCTCACCCAAGAGACCCTCCTGTGCACATGGGGTGGGTGCAGCCCCACGCTGGGTTTGCTCTTCTTTCCCTGTTAGGTCCATGCTAGTGTGGCCGTTCCCTCACAGGTGATGGGGAGAGCGCTGTGGTTGTCAGTATCCCAGGATTGAAAGCCTCATTGGGTTTCTCAGGCTCCTTAGCTGTGTGGAATCCCATCTCTCTTCTCGTCCATCCATAGCCTGGTGGTGGTTATTCACCTGTTTCCAGCAGGTATTGTTGCTTGCCATGGAAAGCTTTATGGCCTATCCAGAACCAGCTAGAAGAGCACTTAAAACTTTTTATGGCCTCTTGTTATGATTTATTATCATCAGACCCCCCCTGCAGTCCTGATCCAGCTCTGAGGGAAGCACACAAAAGGACTGGACCTGGTGGAGTGAGTACAGAGGAGGCCATGGGGATGCTGCGAGGGCTGGAGCAGCTCTGCTCTGGAGCCAGGCTGAGAGAGCTGGGCTGGGGCAGCCTGGAGAAGAGAAGGCTCCTGAAGGGGAGACCTGAGAGCAGCTCCAGTGCCTAAAGGGGCTGCAGGGAACCTGGAGAGGGGCTGGGACAAGGGATGCAGGGACAGGGCAAGGGGAATGGCTTGAACCTGCCCGAGGGGAGACTGAGCTGAGCTCTTAGGCAGAAGCTCTTCCCTGTGAGGGTGCTGAGGCGCTGGCACAGGGTGCCCAGAGAAGCTGGGGCTGCCCCATCCCTGGCAGTGCTCAAGGCCAGGTTGGACACAGGGGCTTGGAGCACCCTGCTCCAGTGGAAGGGGTTGGGATTGGAGCTGGAGGAGCTTTAAGGTCCCTTCATCCCAACCCATTCTATTATTCCCCATTCTATTATTCTAGGTGTGTGCTGAGCAAGGGACCGAGTCCATCAGCTCTTTCTGCAGGGATGCTGTGATTCATCCAGCTCACAGGGATGGGACAGAGGTAAAACTGATCTGGCTCTCACAAACCCTGCTTGTTTTCGAGAGGTGCTGAGCTCTTACACTGCAGTTTTGTCCCTTTCCTTCCCTCCTTTTTCCCTGCTGGGCGTGAAGAAGGAAGTTCCAATTCTAAACCAGACACGGAACGAAGATGAGCATCTTCTCTGCTTCCTTTCCCTTTAATGACTCCATGATGCTCTAATTGGGCTTAAGTTGGCTTCAAAAGCCACAGAACCGCACCTGTGCTTCTAATGAGCTTTGCAATTAC